ACATTCATAAGACAACATCCCTGTTTTCTTAACTGCATTGTTAGGGGCCTAGACAAACCTTTCTCACTGCCATTTTTCCACAAAACTCTGAGTTTCAGGCAACCATTATTATGAATATGATGTGTACTTTTCCAATCCATTTGAAATAACTTATACATATATATATACATATACTTATCTATAAAAAATATTTAAAGTTTTGTTTGCATGGCATTTAAATGTACATAAATGGTACCCTTTATATATGCCAACATTTAACTTGCTATCTTTGCCCCTAATTACCTTTTTGAGGTCTATCTATACTAGTAATATGTAGAAATTTATTTTATTTTTTAAATTTCTTTATTTTACTCAAATGTTATATTTTTTTTACTCTTTCAGCTACTGATGAACATTTAGATTGCTCTAAGATATTACTCAATACAGCAAGAAAAATCTTTTGAATATTTTTCCTTGTACATACACAAGGGGTTCTCTAGCATAAATATCTAGCTGTTGAATTATGGTGTCTTAGGATCTATACATGCACATTTCCAAATTTACTAAATACCACCAAATTGCACTTTCAAGTAGTTATACCAATTTCTTACCAGGCATGCATGTCAGTACCCATCGATTCACAATTTTGTAAGTTCTTGTTATTGACAGAGACTTTAATTTTGCCATCCCAATATGTAAAAAGCCATTATCTCTCTATTTTTCTAATTTTCAGTTCCCTGATTGCTAGTGAAAGTATACATATTTCAATGTTTATTAGCCACTCTGACTTCATATCCCTTTCCAGTTTTGGGGGGTAAAGTATTTTGGAGGCTTTGAGGTGTCCCTTACAGACCAATGTTGTAGGGAACATAATTGAACAAGGGCCCCAGTTGCTATGAGTTGAAATCCTTCACTCATTGAATTTGTCTTGAAACTGCTCCTTCCGCAGGCTGCTTCTCATGAATGACTGAGTGTGGCAGTGACAGGTTTGTGTTTGGAAAACATGGGACTTATTTATTAACTAATTTTGCTTCAGAGACTCCCAGGTAGCTTTCCAAAACGTGCTTAGACTTAGACAGCACAGTGGTTTAGTGTTCTCCCATCCAGCTGTTCCTCTCGCTTTCACTCAGGGCTTGGACTTGCATTGAAGCCTGGCAACCCTCCCAGCCTTCCTCGCCTTCTTCCCTATTTCCTTTTATACAAGTGTTTCCTCTAATAAAATGATTTCACATTTAATACTGTCTTAGCATAGGAGGAGAGGTCTTTAAATTACTTGAAAAAGATCTAAACTGATAGGAAATTGGATGTCTTAAGTGTTAGCAGTGCTTTCCTTAAAAATATTTTAATGGTGTGTAAGAGACCACTTTCTTTTATAGGTATATTATATCTAACTAGAATTTATCACAGCTGCTAGCCAAACTTTAAAAAAACCTTAAAAAATAAAAAGCTAGAGGAACTGGATAATTTACTAGCAAAATGCAAATGATCAAAATTGAAGAAGCATATAAAAGGTTGAATAGACACATTTCCATTGTGAAGGTGATTCAATGTCTACTAAAAAAAGACACCATCACTGGATGATTTTGTAGCTGAATTGTATCTAAACTTTAAATAGCATGCATTTCCTATGTTATTTACATTATACCAAACCATAGAAACAGATGGAAATTTGTTCAGTTCATTTTCTAAAGTCAAAATTGTCTTTGTACCAAAATCTGAAAAAAATAATATAAAAACAGAACTGTAGTTAATCAGTTATGATATAGATATTTTAATAAATATTATAAATAAAATATTAATAAATAAAATCCGGAATGGTATACAAAATAATAAAATATGACCGAATAAGATTTATGATAAGAATGCAAAGGTGCTTCAATATAAAGAAATATGTAAGTAAAATATAATTTGTTATAGGGATAAGGAAGAAAACCAAATAGTCAGTAGATGCTGAAAGAACCTTACATAAAATTTGGCAGTTATTTTTAATAAAATTTCAAAGTACAAATAGAAGGAAACTTTATAAATACAACAATTTTTAAAGCAAATATCCCAAAATAAACATTATTTTAAACTATAGAAAGTTAATGCCATTTGTCTTAAAACAGGAACAATATTAAGTGGTCATGAAAACATTGTTCACCTAAAAACCCCCACAAGAGATTCTAGCAAAAAGCAAACAAACCAAAAACAAAATGTCTGCTAGAATTAATAAGGGAATAGAAGATGGCTGGATAATAGGTAAGCATACGAAAATAATTAGCTTTATTTTAGCAGTAACTATCTCAAAATGGAAGTAGGAAGCTATTTATTTATTTATTTATTTATTTCAGTTTTTAAAAAATATTTTATTTATTTAATTTTAGGGAGAAGGGGTGCAAGAGAGAACAACATTAATCTGTTGTCTCTTGCACACCCTCAATGGGGGACCTGGCCTACAACCGAGGTATGTGCCCTGACTGGGAATCGAACTAGGGAACTTCCAGATTTTGGGACAATGCTCAGTCCACCGAGCCATACCCATCAGGGGCCAATTCAGTTTTTTTTTTTTAAAATTTATTTACTTTTTAAATACATTTGTCTCTGCCTCCCCCCCACCACTTTCCCTTGCCCCCTCCTTCCTTCCCTCCCTCAGCTCTTCCCCTTTGGTTTTGTCCATGAGTCCTTGCTATATGTTCCTTGACTTTCCCCTTCCCTTCTCTTTCCCTGCCCCTCCCTTCCCTCTTGTCTCTGTTGATTTCCTTTCAGTGTTGCTGGTCATATTTTCCTTGCATCTTTGCATTGTTGGTTAGGTTCCGCTTATAGGTGAGATCATATGGTATTTGTCTTTCGCCCCCTGGCTTATTTCGCTTAGCATGATGCTCTCCAGTTCCATCCATGCTGTCGCGAAGTTTAGTAGTTCTTTTTTTCTTTCTGCTGCGTAGTATTCCATTGTGTATATGTACCATAATTATTTAATTCACAATAGTAGAACACTGTAAAATACTTTTTAAAAAGATTTTATTTATTTTTAGAGAGAGGGAAAGGGAGGGAAAGAGAGGGAGAGAAACATCAACATGTGGTTGCCTCTTGTGCACAATTCAATGGGGACCTGGGCTACATCCCAGGCATGTGTCCTGCCTGGGAATTGAGCCAGTGACCCTTTGGTTCACTGGCCAGCACTCAATCTGCTCAGCCACACCAGCCAGGGCAGAACACTGTAAAATACTTAAAGATATTAGTGGGAATGTAAATTGATGTAGCTGCTGTAGAAAGCAGTATGGAAGTTCCTCAAAAAATTAAAAAAGGAACTACCATATGAGTCACCAATTTAACTCCTGTGTATGTATCTGAAGGAAATGAAATCCCTATCTCATAAATATCTGCACTCCCAGGTTCATTGCAGCATTGTTTATAATAGCCAAAATATGGAAACAACATAAATGTCCATTGACAGATGACTGGATAACGAAAATGTAGTAAATGTAGTATATATACATATATTTAAATATTACTCAGCCAAAAAAAAAAAGAAAAGAAAGAAATCCTGCCATTTGCAACAACATGGATGGAACCTGAGAGCATTATGATAAGTGAAATAAGCCAAAGACACATTCTGTATGATATTACTTATAGGGGGAATCTAAAAAAATTTGAACTCATAGATACAGAGAACAGGTTAATGGTTACCAGAGGAAGGACTGGGGGTTATTCTGCTGCATTTCCTCCAACATGTCAGCATTTTTAAATTCTCCTGAGCTTTAGTCACCCTAGCTCAGGAGGATTGAGAGTAACAGTTCCTTAGGGACAGTGCTTAGAATGGTTTCAGCCATCTTGGTGAGTTTAGAGTTACGTATATAAAGTTCTATTTAATTTTCATATTGTAGGTAACAGAAATGAATTAACAGAAGTAACCATTTGACAATTTACATATAAATAATGTTGGCAACTCAAGGGGAGATGTTGAATTGCTTCTGGATTGGCAAAGAAAAAGGAGGGCTAGTATAGAAGTGTATTTTTAGTAAAAGGGGAGAGAAGAAAGTGGTAACAAAAGAAAATAGCAGATGTTTGGGGATGGGAAGAAAAAAGGGAGAGAACTTTTTTGACTTAAAGAATAAGTATTACCTATATGATTCTTCTCATTCTTCAAATCTCAGGCCAAACCCCATCTCTTTCAGAAAGCCTTCTAGCATTTTCTGTCTATTGTACTAATACGTCTGTTATCAATACAATTAATTTGTGAGTTAATTGTATGCTAGTTTATGATTTATATTAATATGGTTAATTAAATCTTTTGGATGTTATTTGGTATTCTCCAGGATTATGGCTTATCTTCCAAATTAGATTTAGAATAGCTGGGAGTCAAGACTATTTCTAATAAATACTAAACTTCTTTTACAATGCCTAGGATGGTTGTTGCCACAGAAAGTTCAATAACTGGGAGAAAGGATGACACAACTAGTTGAAGGGAGGTGACAGGAGAGGCAGGGTAGCTGGGAAGAGGACACAGGAATGAGGTTTTGGGTTGACGGGTGAGAGAACTGTGGGAAGGAATTTCCTTGGACTCATGGTCACCCACTAACTATGTTTAGATATTGCAGGGGTGGTGAATATAAGTAGCATTCTTTTAGTAAACCTTCTTTTATTGAGAGGTTTACTCAGTTTTGGAGATTTCCTTTTAAAAGTGAATTTAAATTGGAAGGAAGTGTAATAGCCCTTGGGTTTGTATAATGGGCTATGGATGATATATGCATACATATTTACATACCCATAAATATACATAGGCTTTACTTTCTTATATTTCCCAATTATTTCTAAATAATCATTAATGGCATTTTAAAAATTAAACAAAGATTTTTTTCTTAATTTCAGCAATGTTTTGAGCAATTGAAGTGGATTTGAAATAATGGAGATGCAGTTCAAAATTCAGCTGTGGTTAAAAACAGTAGTGTGATATGATTACATTTGAAGGAAAAAATACCTTTCAAATTCAGATTCAACATACTAACAATTCCTCTCTTACTTTCTATTTTTGATAATAGGACATTTCCAAGTTTGCAGAGAAAGACAATGTAGTTCTTGGAGAAGGTGGACTCACACTGAGTGGAGGGCAGCGAGCAAGAATTTGTTTAGCAAGGTGAATATCTGATTGTTGGCCCAGTGAGCATTTACTGTAAATATCATGCATGTAAAAATTATACATATTCTCTATTTATTTATGTTCTATTTTGGAATTGAAAAGTGCTTCGGGTCTTATGACTAACTGGTTGAGAATAAATTTCAAATACTGTAGATAATGATATAAATAGTATTCATAGTTGTTAAAATGATGGCTTTTTCAAAATTCATGCCCTTATTTTGGTGTGTGTATATCTGATTGCCTTATAGTACGTTTTACTACAAAGGAAAACTCTGGGATTCTGCATAGCACAGGAAAGATGTGATGTAAATTTTTTATCACTTATTTTTTTAAATAATGTTTATTCTATTACAGTTGTCTCAATTTTTACACCTTTGCCCCCCTTCACTCATTCCCCTCCCCATTCCCACAGTCAATTCCCATACTGTTTTGCACGTCCATGGGTTATTCATACATATTCTTAGTCTAGTCCCTTCCTCCTCTTCTCATCATTGTCCTTCTTGTCCATCCCCTCTGGTCACATTCTGCCCGCTCCATGTTTCCATGCCCATGGTTTATTTTGTTCGTTAGAGTATTTTGTTGAATACATTCCATTATAGGTGAGATCATGTGGTATTTGCCCTTCACCTACTGACTTATTTCACGTAGCATAATATTCTCCAGTTCCATCCATGTTGTTGCAAAAGGGAGGAGTTCCTTCTTTCTTTCTTTTTTTTTAATGCAGATTGATTTTATTTATTTATTTTAAATGTCAAAATCCATTATAAAATATTAAAAAGTTTAAATCCATTATAAAGTATCAGCAATTAAAACAACATGACATCAGCACAGAAATAATCAAGTAGATCAATGAAATAAAATGAGCATTATAGAAACAAGTGTATATATCTATCTAACAATGGAATATATGATTAAATTGATATTTCAATTCAATGGGAGAAAATAAGGTTTATTCAACAAATAAGGTGCATGGACCACTTGAAATAAACAAATATAGAGCCCTATTTCACACTGTAAAAAAATATTCAGGTGAGTTAAAAATCAATACATAAAATCTAAGGAGTTTTCAGAGAAAATACAAAATAATACGTTTCTTACCCCGAAGTAACATATTCAAACCCAGATACTATAAACTAAAATATTGACAATATCACTATATTAAACATTTAAGGCTATACAGTAATATATAAAAAAAGTTAAAGGACAAGTAATAGAATAGAAAGTATTTGCAACACATATAAAAGGGGTTAATAGTTTTGTTTTTCTCTTTTTAGGGAAAAAATTTCTACAAACCTTTAATCGATAAATGGATAAAGAATACGAAAATGTCATTTAAAGCTTTTTTATTTTAATAATAGAAATAGGCAAGAAATATGCAAAAACAGGTTTAGTTTCAATAAACAATAAAGGAACAATTGAAATAACACATCATTGTCACAATCAGATTAATATGTACTAAAAAATATTGGTAATATCAAGTATTGGCAACTGTGAGAGGAACTGGGTATTCGCAGACTCTTTTTCTTCATCTTAAAGCAGTCCCTTTAGCATATTTTGCAGCACTGGTTTGGTGGAGGTATATTCTTTTAGCCTTCTTTTGTCTGGGAAACTCTTTATTTCACTTTCCATTTTAATTGAGGGTCTTGCTGGGTAGAGTAGTCTTAGTTGCAGTCCTTTGCTTTTCATGACTTGGAAGATTTCTTGCCATTCCCCTTCTGGCTTGTAGTGTTTCTGTTTAGAAGGCAGCTGCTAGCCATACAGGAGCTCCCTTATATGTCACTACCCCTTTCTCCCTTGCTGCCTTACGGATTCTCTGTTTGTCTTTGATATTTTCCATTTTAATTGTGATGTGGCTTGGAGTGGGCCTCATTGGGTTCCTCTTGAATGGGACCCTCTGTGCTTCCTGGACTTGTGTGACTTTTTCTCTCCTCCAATGAGGGAAGTTTTCCATCATTACTTTTTCAAACAGGTTTTCAATCCCTTGCTCCTCTTCTTCTCCTTCTGGTATCCCTATTATACAGATATTATTATGTTTCAGGTTGTTCTGCATTTCCTTCAACTCCTGTTCATTCCTTCTGAGACTTTTTTCATTTTCTTGCTCTTTCTGAGAGCTTTTTTCTGTCTTATCCTCCAGCTCGCTAATTTGTTCCTCTGCTTAATCTAGCCTGCTTTTGATTCCTTCTCCTGTGTTCTTCAATTCAGAAATTGTAGTCTTCATTTCCTCTGGCCTGTTACTGATAGTTTCTATGTCCTTTTTCATGCTGTTATAGTTTGCCGTAAATTCCTTATAGTTTCCCTGTAGTTTTTTTTGTAATTCTCTCTGAGTTCACTGAGCTCATTGAGCTTCCATAGGACCATTGTTTGAACTCAATATGTGATAGTTTACTTGCCTCTATTTCCTTTATTTCTTTTTCTGGGGATTCCTCCTTTCCCTTAGATTATGTGTGGGGGGAGAGGGGGGTGTTTCTTTGTCTTCCCATTATTTGTGAGACACTTCTTTTTTGCTCTTGCTTCTTAAATTGATCTGTCTTGATTTCCTGACTTTGTGGTATAAATTTGTATGGTAGGAGATCACTGTTTTTTTGTGTCTGTATCTGCCTCTGATGATGTCAGGTGTTGACCCTGTCTGACCTTAGGCAGTCTCTTTCAGCTGTTAATCTAGTTACTCTGCACTCAGCAGTCAGGCTTAGACACCACAGGGCAGAGCAGAGTCCCTCCTGGGGGCAGAGGCTATTGTGTCTTCTCACAGTTTTGCTGCTCAGGAGAGTGATCTGACTGAGCCATAGGTCTGCTGCCATCTTGGTGAGTAGCCAGCACTGGGATCCTGGTGGCTACTCCCTCACTTCTCTCCCTAAAGCCTCCTTTCCCAGTCTCTCCTCAGGTGTTCTTGCCCACTCTACCTCTCATTTTGCCAAAGACCAGAATAAGTGGCTGCAAATAAAAATTTATACATTGGCCTTTTGAATGACTTTTTGAATGGCTCCTACCTCCTGTCTCTGGGAGAGAGCAACCCTGCTGCTTTTTGCAGCTGGCTGTTTTCTGTATACTTTTTGGACTCTGGTACTATAGGCTGGAGATCCTCACTTGTGGTTTAGACACCTTCTTCTCAGGGGGATCCAACTGGCTATTTCAATATCCTTATGGTGCTATTGTTTGTGGGCACCCCGCCTCTCTTCTCAAGTCTCGACCACACTCCTTACCAGTTAGTTTATGCTAAAGCTGATTCTTCTGTCTGTCCTAGGTTATGAGGCTCCTCTCTCACTATTGTTCAGTTGTTTGTTCCAGGTGATTCTTCCACAATTTAATTGTGATTCCATATTGGTCCTGGGAGGAGGTCAGTGTGACTTCCATTCACTCCTCCACCATCTTGATTTTCCTGGTTTAAATCTTTGCGAAGTCCATCAGTCAGTCCCCCATTTACCCCATCCCGCAATGAACACACTGATTTAGGCTTCTGTTTAGATAAACACATATTTTCAAACTTTCCCAACATAATTAATTCTCATTGCACAAATAACAAGGAAAATTATATAACGGCTTAAGTCAGCAACTTTTAAAGACAAATATATGGGAAAAGCACATCAAATACTGTGGTGCAAGGTTCCATTAGTATAGATATCCGTGGTCTAAGCATTTTGAGCTGTCAAAGAGAGAAGTATGTACAGTTAATTTCTATTAAGAAGAAAATTTTGTGGTTAAACTGTCATGTTCAGTTTAAAAAATTATTGGTGTAATGGGATGTCAAGTGTTCCTCCAGTTGTATTCAAACAAAATCTTCTTACTGTTTTGCCAATGTTGTTAATGAGAACTCACACTGACTTACTGATATTTTGGCTCCTTTTCCTTTTTTTCCCCCTGCTTTTAAAAGCTAGGACAGAAAACTAACTCACTGAGCAACTTCAGTTGCCTGATAATATTGTAGGTAGTGTGTGTGTGTGTGTGTGTGTGTGTGTGTGTGTGTGTGTGTGATTTTGCTTAGTCCCCACATCACCCTGCAAAGATAGGATTGTTCTCCCACTTTATGGAAGAAATCATGAGATAATTAAGGCTGTTAGATATTAACTTCCCAAGACCCACATTGGGAAATTGTAGAGTTACAATTTGAACTAGGTCCTCTCAACTCTACATTAAATTGTGCCTTGATTTTGGGATTACCATTTGAAGAAATAAATCAAGAGATATGGATAATGATAATGGCTTCTAAATAAATGGAAGTGATTAATTAACCTGTGAGCCAAAAAGACTTATCTTATAAATTCCATTTCATACTTAGATAAGATATGCTATATGGCTTCTAGGCATTCAACATATATTTGAGTTTGTACTTACTAATTTAATATTTGGTTTTATTGCAAGGTGAACACAGTTTGAAGTACTACTGGATATAATTATTTTTATTCTGATTGGAATGTATCATGTGTTGTCCAGTTTTAGATGGTGGAGAAATTATTTCTAATCTGTGGAGAAATTGTGGTCATAGATGTTAAGGAAAGAGAGAGGTATAAAAACTTTGAGGGTGTATTTTAATAAGGATATTTTATCTAGCTCTTACATCTTATCTTTGAAAATAATTTACAATGCAAAGGGTTTTTTTAGATTTTACTTTACTTTTTGCCATTTCTATATTTTCTCTTAGAAACCTGCTGATGGAACACATTATTCTTTTTACTGAGAGTACCAAGAATTGTACATAAACACTGAATTCTATGTGTCTTGGGTAGGGGTAGGGTTACTTAACCACCCCTCATGAAAAATTTAAGTGTTATGAAGAAATTATCTCATTTCCATTAATATGGGACTATATCTTCATCTTATTACTGTTATAAGATCAACTTATGAAGAATTCACTTGCTCACAAAATTTTTTTAACTTAAAAAGTCAAATAGTATGGGTATACATTTTTACTGTGAATTATTCATTCTTATCTTGTTTGGAATTTCTATAAATATGGCACAGAGACTGAGCAAAAAGCATATCAATCACACAGCCATAATAGTACCACTATCAATTTGTTGATAGCAGTCTAAAATGAAAAACACTAAAAAGAAATAATTTCATATGAGTGCAGCAATTTAGTTGCTTTCTCTGCCATTTTACAGGGTTGAAGTAGTTATTCTATTTTCCCCACCAAAATGCAAACAAAGTCTTTGAGGGCAGGAACTGCGTAATTTTTACCATCGTATTCCCGGCATACAGCACTGTGCTTTGCTCTAATTAGATACTATTGTTAGAAGGTGTTCTTTTTTTTTTTCTAGTTAAAGTAATGATTTAAATTATATGGCCTGCTATGACTCAGTTTGTAACTTTTGCTAGTTTATGTAACTTATATTTAGCAAAATCATGCTAGCAATTCTTGGAGTGTTGTGAAAAAGCCATGAAAGTCATATGTAACTTATTTTATTATTCTTCATTTAAAATCATCTACACTAAATTACATGGGAAATGCTGAGGAAGTCTAATTTAGTTTTCATTTTCTTTTTAGAGCAGTATACAAAGATGCTGATTTGTACCTATTAGACTCTCCTTTTGGATACCTAGATGTTTTAACAGAAAAACAAATATTTGAAAGGTATGTTCTTTGAGTAACATAATGCTCATGCTAAAAGTCAAAGAAAGAATGTGCTGTCATAGACTGCATATTATTCCTTGAGAAATATGTCCACCATTGTGACTCAGTAGGAAAGAATTTAACATTTTGCTCAAATCTGATTTTCCCTTCACAGTTGTTTCAATATCACTTCCACATAAACTTCTGACTGCCTCCTGTTAAACCAATTTATTCCATTGCTATTGCTTTCATAATCACTATCTATGCAGTTTTTACAGCATTATTATCTTGTGACATTATTTTAATTGGTTATTATACTTAAAGTTTTTACTTGCTTATTTGTGTTAGTATTTTATTCTATCCCCTCCTTAGACAGTAAATTTAAGGAATTAAATAAGCTGCATGATTTTTTTAAATCCTCACTGAGGATATGTTTATTGACTGTAGAGATAGAGCAAGGTGCGGGGGGGAAGGGAAAGAGAAGGAAAAACATCAATGTGAGAGAGAAAAATTGATCAGTTAAGTCCCGTACACAGCCCAACCAGGGACTGAACCTGAACCCGCAACCTAGGTATGTGCCCTGACCAGGAACCAAACCTGCAACCTTTTGATGTATGGAATGATGCTCCAACCAACTGAGCCACCTGGCCAGGGCAACAAGCTGAATGTTTTAATGTTTAAGGTAAGTGAATGCTCAGGCTATTTGTCTACAGAAAAGCCTCCTTCAGAACTTTGTCTTCAGCACTCAGGGCTCAAGATATGCATTTCATTGGAGCTCCTAATAGGGCTCAAATTATGTGAAATTCCAAAGAAAAACAGTTTTATAACTTGATTTCAAAGTTTCAAAATGATTTCTATGATTATAAAGTAGTTTATTATGAGAATTGTCATGGTACTCTTCTAGAAATAAAGATTTTAAGCAAAAAGGATGTAGATGTATATGTGTATCAAATGCCATTATTCCAGGAAGCACCTTTCCTAGAATTTAGTTAAATTTACTACATAAGATACTATTTTTTACAATCATGTGACTGTGATAAGTAACTTCTTACCAATATAAACTTGCTAGCTATGCTAGTATATTAGAGTACATTCTAGAATTATGCCTCTTTCTATATGATATATATAATGTTTTAATACCTAAAAGAAATTGGTCTTTCTTACATGGTGCTATTTGGGCCTAGAGGGAAATTTTTTTAGAGGAGGGTCAATTTATCCAATTCTTAGGTTTGTTGTTGTTGCTGAGTTAGCAAATCAGATTAATCTTATTTATTATAAGCTCAAGAACTAAATTGGTGATAACTTAAAATTTAAAAGGAATTTAAGAGAAAATTTAAAGAACAAGAAAGCTCAACATTTTAGAAGCTACAAAGATCTTCCATCCCCTACCCTCCAGGAATCTTAAAGGTCATCTAACAATTCTCCATGTTCTAGGTGAATGAACCAAGACCCAGAGGATAACCAGTTTGCTCAAATTCAAACATTTATTTAATATAGATATTTAATTTCATTTGAGGTCTGTTAACACTCAACTTTATAATATACCATACTATAATAATTCAATAATACAGTATTTCATACTATAATAACTCAAGAGGCACCAAATTAATTAGTATTAGGTATTTATTTTTAGAATTACATTAAATATAGTAACATTGTATTATAGAAGTTTTATATGAGAATACAATAATAAAATGTTAAAATGAAATACATATAGTATTGTAATAAAGTGTTTATAAAATTGATATCTTATTTATATCTTTTTATATTCTTAAAGCTGCGTCTGTAAATTGATGGCTAACAAAACTAGGATTTTGGTCACTTCTAAGATGGAGCATTTAAAGAAAGCTGACAAAATATTAATTTTACATGAAGGTAGCAGCTATTTTTATGGGACATTTTCAGAACTACAAAATCTACGCCCTGACTTCAACTCAAAGATCATGGGATATGAGTCTTTTGACCAGTTTAATGCAGAAAGAAGAAATTCAATCATAACTGAGACTTTGCGTCGTTTCTCATTAGAAGGAGATGCTGCCATCCCCTGGAATGAAACAAAAAAACAATCTTTTAAACAGACTGGAGAGTTTGGTGAAAAGAGGAAGAACTCTATTCTCAATCCAATCAATTCTGTAAAAAAATTTTCAATCGTACAAAAGTCTCCATTACAAATGAATGGCATTGAAGAAGATTCAGAGGAGCCTTCTGAGAGAAAGCTCTCCTTAGTTCCAGATTCTGAGCAGGGAGAGGCTATCCTGCCTCGAAGCAATGTGATTAACACTGGTCCCACATTTCAGAGACGAAGGAGGCAATCTGTTCTGAACCTGATGACACACTCTTCAGTGAACCAATGTCAAATCATTCACCAAAAGACAGCAGCATCAACAGGAAAAATGTCCCTGGCCTCTCAGGGAGACTTAGCTGAAATGGATATATATTCAAGACGTTTATCTCAAGGTAGTGGTTTGGAAATAAGTGAAGAAATTAGTGAAGAAGATTTAAAGGTGTGTATAAATTATTAATGGTTTGTTTGTTTGTTTTGCCATAGAGTACGACCGAGTGGAATACAATATATAGTATGTTACAAAACTTAATCAAATTATGAGTTTAACATGAGGTTTATCTTGAGACTCTGAAAGTGCAAAGTTCATAATTACTAGCAAATTTAAAATATAAAAGAATCAACTATTTCCTTTTGTGATGGACATATCTTTTCTCATAAAATATATTGTACATCAAAGCAAGGGCTAGTGTTGGGTTTACTAGGCCAGTGATAATCATTATTATAAATTAGAAAAGTTATACATTATTAAAAGTCATTATAAAACTGCTTATTGCCACCTTAAAACCTCTCTAGGAAGAGGTGGAGTATAAATAAATACATAAACAGATAAAGCAGTTTAGAGCCAAATAAATATTTCTGTGTATAAGGTATATAAGCATCTAGTTTCTCAACAGGATCAACATATTCTGGTTTTTATTCTGGTTTATATATCAATCTTACCTGAATGTAGTGTGAGCTTTTTTTTATCTTTTAAATTTGCTTTCTACATTGGATTTCTAGACAGGTTTCTTTTAAAGAAGATGTGTGAAACTCAACAGACACTAGCATCAACCTTTAGATAGAACGTTTTTTACATTAAGTTTTAAAGAATAAAATACTTTTATTTTTAAAATAGGAAGCAGTATAAGTAGAGAGGATTTGTTTAATTTTTACTAGAAAAATTCTTTATGTGCCTTGGATGAAACAGGCAGCGTTGTAATGAATTGATATGTTTAATAGCATAGATCAATTAAGAGTAGTATGACTTTTGGCAATCACAAGTCCTTTAGCATTTCTGAGCTGAATTTTCCTCCTTTGGAAAATGAAAGAACATGATAGGTTATCTCTAAAATACATACTTTCAGTATTCATATACTTATTAAAATGGTTTCCTAAAGGATAATTTATTTATGTAGTTTTAATGTCAGTCTGAATGAATTTCTCAAGCCTGAGCCTATAAATTTAGTTGTAAAGAGTGATTTCTTTGGTTAATACCTAGCTATTATTTATTGATTGCTTCTACTACTGGGTTGCATATACTTAGTCCCTATTACTACCCTAGAATATACCTCAGTTATAGATAAGGTAGGTAAAGTTTAGAGAAGTTCAACTGCCCAAATTCAAGCAGCATCTAGGAAGTCAATGTGGAATCCAGATTCAAAGCCAGGTTTATTGGACTCCAGAAATCTTCATACTAACCAGTGTGTTATGTTTCAATTTCATAGGACTCCTTCTTTGAAGCTTTAGTGCCTCTTCTGTGAATTTTGTTGACTTAATGAGAAAGAAAAGTATCCTTTCCTTTTGGACTACCTAGAATCACACCTTTTCAAATTTTTGAAATGCACCTACATATGACAAAAACTTCTAGGGAAATATACTGAGGAGTAGAATTCTGTAATTTAAATCATACGTGGGAAGAGAGATAATTCTAGGCCATTTAGGAATTTACAAAAATCAACTGGCCCCAGGTCTATTTGGAGATTTCTACAGATAGCAAAGTTTCAAACTGTACTCATCCATAGACTCCCTTAAGAAATAAGTTAAATCAAGTAGAGTTCTGGGAAGCTTTAGTTTAATGGTACCGTTCATTTGTGAAAGATGTGACATCGATAAGCATTAAAATGGTAAAATTGCCCAAAGATAATCAGTGATATGCTTTCAGGATTTTGAAGAATTACAGTGTTTCTCATTTTTCAAAAAGCTATGTTGCTCCAGTGGACATACTGGCTGTGGAGTGACACTACATGCATCATTCATAAGGGTTTATATTTGTTGAAATTCACCAGCTTCAAATAGTAATATTTTCTTATTTTTACACATTCAAAATAAAACCACATAGGTGATGTGAAACTGTATAGCCTCATTGTAATAACCATGTGTACTTTTTTTCAGGAGTGCTTTTTTGATGACACAGAGAGCATACCAGCAGTGACTACATGGAACACATACCTTAGATATATTACTGTCCACAAGAGCTTAATTTTTGTGCTGATTTGGTGTTTAGTTATTTTTCTCATTGAGGTAAATATTTTCTGCTATAAAATATTATTGATTTAAAGTCAAAATAAGAATAGTTTGGAAGGATATATGTGTATACAAGAGGGAACCCAAAACAACCCCCAGAATTTATTTATAAAACATGGTGTATTCTTACTACATATTTAAACTTCAGTCACCTTCAAAGTACTTTCCATTTGATACAATACACCTATTGAGACATTTTTTCCACCACTTAAGACAGTTTTTGAACTCGTTGATTTTGATCACTTTTATTGCTCCTGCTGTTTTTTGTTTCACGTCTTCCACATTGGCAAAATGTTTCCCTTTGAGGACTTTTTCATCTGAGGAAAGAAACAAAATCACTGTGTGCAAGACGGGGTGAATAGGAATGATAGAACATGGGGTTCATGCTGTTTTTGGTCAAAAACTGCCCAACACTTAGCTAGTGTGGGCAGGTGTTTTCCTAAATCACCCACCAATGAAATTGGCAAATGTGTTGAAAGAGTCTTCAAAAAAATATTTGCCGAAGCTGAATGCAGCCTCTACCACAATGCCAGCTGGCACACTGGTACGGATGGGCTCCTGGAACAGTCAGCAAGTGGGGAAGGCTGTACTACAAGGGACCTGCCCTCCAGAAGATAATTCTGATTTTTCCTTTGGGCCCCCCTTGTATATATACACATGTATAAATAAGTATAAAAATAAGTATATATGTATATGTAATTTTATATTGTAAAATAGTATTTGTAGTTTTATATAGTTTTTCAACTGGTATTTTATTAATATGTATATGCTATATAAAAGAGACTTAAACACATATCTTCTATATGAAGAGTTTTTACTAGAGAGATTCAAAACCTCAGTGTAGAATGCCTTTATATGGACTGAAATTAAACACTGAAAGTCATTCTGTACTAAATTTTAAATTCATTTGACTCTAGATATTAGATTATTAAACATGCAAGTGATGAATCACCACCTTTAAATGACTTTATTAACAAATGAAATAAACATATATTAGTGGCTTAGTAATCATTGTAGAAAACCCTTTTAGAAATTGAATTACCCAGTTGCTTACAGAATGTTTTTGTTCAAAGCCCCCATCACAGGGTCTTTGCCATGCCCCTGCTGTCCTTCATATCAGTAGGTTTAAAAAAAGGGGAGAAACAAACAGCAAAGTTGGCCACAAGATCAGTTCCTCATGAACATAAGGAGTTCCTGAAGCTGGTTGGTGGATGAGGCTGTTCTCTAGATCAGGAGCAGCTATCTAAATGGCAAAAGGGGCTTGACAGATGGGTGCAGTGTCTCTGAAGATGAATGGAGAGCATCTAACCTTCCTCAATCATCTAAGAGGGGCAGCTATAACAGCACCAGCCAAGGAGTTGTCATAAGGGCATTTGGGATCAGTTTTGCAAAGTCTTCTTATTTATCAAAATAAAATGGAAACTCAGATTTTTCTATAAAATTTTCCCATTTTAGATGTGAGTAGTCAATTAAATAAAAACAAACACTACAGAGGCACAGCAAAACACACCTGTGGATTGGATTCAGCCTGTGGAATGACTACTTACTCTAGATATTTATTCCAGAGGACACTGCTGGATATATCCTAATATACAATCTAAACCTAACATTAAGGCCCATGCTTCTTTTAGGGAAGAAATGAACCAGGAGGAAAGCTGCCTTTCCTGAGCATGGATATATATATGAAACCAAACTGATAACTACATGTTTGTCCTGTTATTATTAAGATGTTTGTAACTTCATTTCAGAAGCCTACATAAGCCCTGGCCAGTGTGCCTCAGCTGGTTAGAGCATCTCCCTTAATCAGAAGGTTCTGTGTTCACTTCTGGTCCAGGCACATACCTGTCTCCATCCCCAGTCTGGGTTCTGGCACATGTGACCCCAGTCCAGACACATAAGATCCCTGAGTTGGGCATGTATGGGAGGTGACCAATAGATGCTTCTCTCTCACACAGCAATAATTCTCTCTCTCCCTTCTTCCCTCTCTAAAAGCAAAAAAAGTTCTCTTGTGAGAATATAAAAAAAGTCTACATAAAATATCATTATTCCTCTGTGACCATATTTGTGCTAAATATGTAAAGGTATGTCCTAAAACGTTGTACATACTATTTCACCTCTAAACCACCGTTTTCCATTTTATCTTTGGGTTCTGATTATATCTCTTTTGCCATACTACCACTTTAAATTAATAAACCAAATGAAGGCTTAATGTGAGATATAGTATAGCATAGTTCCAACTGTGGGATTAGACTGACCTGGCTGTGAATTCTAACTATCTTATTAAGACTATGAAACTCAATCAGTTAGTTAACTTCCTTGAGCTTTGGATTCCTCATCTATAAAATGGAGGTTCTAAGAATATCAGCTTCATAGGCCATTTTTGTGTGTTAAAAGACATGATGATGATAAAGCACTTAATGTAGGGCTTTTGAGCAATGCTTGTTCTCATTAATAGCCTTAAGGTCATATTACCCTTTGAAAACTTAAAATAGTTTAAGGTGAACAAGTCCATAACACAGACATAACGAAAGTTTCAATGATTCCTTTTACACTTTAACAAAAAAAAAATGAGGTTGGATAATTTAACACTTCATATGAGTAATAAAAATTGCATTGAAATGTATTTTAAATTTCTCTAATTAATGTATGCCATTCTTGCCAAATGACTGACATTAATGTGAACAAAACCCAGTCCTGTGCTACATTTAATCTTAAACCAGCCCTTAATAATTGTTAATGTTTCAAACCTTTGCTTTGAAAGATCACATTTCTTGATTGTTTTCAATTTATAATATTATGTAAGAAAAATGGCCCTATCTGAATGTGGTGGTGATTTATGTTAATTTACAGGACTTTTTTCCCATGCAACTCTATAGAGTTAAACTTACGTATCTTTCAAAGTTATGTAAAATTAATTAATTAGTGATTGAGCATTGAGTTTCTGCACATGTGTACAATATTATTAGCTCACATAATAAAAAAAAAACAGTGGTCCCTTGTCTTTGGGCTAGAAACTAAATCATAACAGAGGATGCAAATGCAGAGGGCTCAGAAAAGCAATAGTGGCCTCTGTCAGCACTTCTGTGTGAGAGAAAGCTTCCCTCTAGCTCTTGCCCTAATGCTGGACAATTCATTTCTTCTCTGTATGTCTCTGGTGCCTTTTAGTCTGCTGCCCTCATGCTGGAGCTCAGAGGGAATGAGTCTGAATAAGTCCAGGTGTGGATCCTTTAAGAGGAACTGCCTGGGGCTCCAGAAGTTTCTGTCTTCCACGGCCTCATTCCCCACTGGTTTCTATGGCCAAAAGTTATAGGGACTTCTCTTTCTGGTACTGGAACTCTGGGCTGGGGGGCTGGGGGGGAGGTGGGGCCCCTGCTCCTGAGATATCCCTTCTGATTTTTATCTGCCATGTGTGTGTGGCACTAGCTTGTTTCGTGCCTCTTCCCCTCCTACCAGTCTTGTTGTGGTTTTTTTCTTTAATTCTGTAGTTGAAGGATTTCCTTTCAGCTTGATTTCTTGTGGTTCCAAATGGTGGTTGTTTTGTAGTTCAGCTGTAATTTTGAAATGGTTATGTGAGGAGGCGAGACATACTTACCTTTGCTACTTACCATCTTTTAAAAAATATTTTATTTATTTTTAAAGAGATGGTAAAGGAGGGAGAAATAGAGGGGGAGAAACATTGGTGTGAGAGAGAAACAGTCATCTGTTGCCTCTCTCATGCCCCCAGCTGGGGACTTGGCCTGCAACTCAGGCATGTGCCCAGATAGAGAATCAAACTGTTGATCTTTTGGTTCTCAGGCCAGCACTCAATCCACTGAGCCACACCAGCTATTGTTATGTGGCCATTTTTACCCTCCTTCTTTGATAACAGTGTTCTCTTTTTTCATTATCATTGAAATATCTCATCAATGTTTTGCATCATGGTAGAGTTGAGAACCTTAGTCATATTTATAGGTTTCTGCAGATATTCCACAGTGAAATATTTAAGTGTGTCTTCTCTGTAGTCAAAGTTTGTCATGATAAAATGTTGGACCATTATACCTTGTTTGCTTGTATTCATATTTCTGAGCCTTTTATAAACAAGGCCTTATCACATTGCCCTTGGCAGTTTTCTTCTCTTTTGAATTTATTTTCTTTAGTTGTGAATATCAGAATTGTATTTGGCCAGGGTTCCTCGTAAGTCCTGGATATGTTCTTGCTTTAGTTCTACATTACATCTTATTTTTGAAACCATACTATTAGGGTTTTACTACATACATGATTAACTATCATCTATCACAACTCCTAAGACGTTTAGTCATTCATTTAGCAAATAAGTTTTTAAATATAAACACATGACTTCTCTTTCCATATGTATATACCATGATATTCTGTATTCATATCCATTTTATTTTAATCATGTAGACAAATTACTTACATAATTTTAATTCTGACCCAGTTTCTGAATATAGGTTTTATTTTTCATCTTGGTTCCATTTGCAATGTTCATGAATTGTCTTCTTGGCCATTCATGGAGAATGCCATCATCAGATTCCTGATGCTTAACATGCAGATATGATAAGTACTCTATCTACACCCCTACATAACAGTTATTATAATCTGTGCATGCACTGTTTGGTAGAATAAGCACCACCCACATATGGCCATATAAGTAAGATAAATTAATTAAAATGAAATAAAATTTTAAATTAGCTTCCTCATTCACACACTCTAACTGTACATCAAAGGATCAATGATACTAAACCAGCACATGTAAATAACATTTCTATTATTGTTTAAATTTCTATTGGACAGTGCTGGTCTATCCTGTACTGTTTTCTATGTGATATGGAATGATAAAAACTGAAAAAAACCCCTGAAAATAAAGACCTCTTTGTTTTAACCATCTAGGACTCTATCATAAACTGTAGGATCTTTTATAATCTGAAAACATTTTGGAAGTGAAGTGGTAGAACTTGCTTCCTCAACTGTTTCTATATGGTCCAAGGATTTTGGCTAAAGTCATTGTGTGAAGTGCTTGGAAAGGTTTTTGTTCCAGTCAATACAAACTGTTTGGGTTGCAGGCTCCTTGTCTCTATCCACAAGAGCCAGGACAAACTTTATATTACACTGATTAGACAAATTTCTTGGAAAACTGCTTTAGTTATTATTCCATAGTAAATATAAAGTGTTAAATATAAAATATTTATTTCTGGGATTTACCAGTGAATGTTGGTAATGCCAACATTATTGACCCTCCTTTAATTGGAATAAAGTGGAACTACAATAACCAAAGAGTGACTCATAAATATATGACTTTTCATAGAGGCCTTTATCTAGACTTTCAAGTATATTTATTAGTCTTAGAAAATAGAAAAACATGTGTACAGGGACAAAGACTTTTGACATAAATTATTGCTGAGTTTCATATCATTTTGAATTTACTTGAATTTCAAGAAAACAAAAATAGTTTTCTTTTTATAAATATGGTGCATGAAGGCTATGCATACAATGAAGAAAAGTAGGAAAGCAAGATTGATGTCATTAGATTTTTCATCATTATACTCCAATCTGAATTTAACTAAAAGAGATATACCTGTTTCAAGTATAGGACATTATAATATAATTTCTTAATTAATGCTGAATGTTCTTTATAAATTTTATATAGTACTATTGAATACTTAAGATAAATTTGAGTATGAAATAAGACTTGTAGATTTATACCAAGTATATTTGTTTCTTTTCTATTTATTTTTATGCTGTGTGCATTTTCAAATTATTTTACTCACAATTTCTTGTTTTTTTAATTTGAATTTTTGGTATAGCTATTATTGGGCAAACTGTATCATTTCTGTCATTTCTAGTATTACAGTAATGGGGGCATCAACAGAAGATTGTTTCTCCACAGGGTTTAGGAGAATAGAAAATCAAATTGATATAGAACAGAGTACAGATCATTTAAATATCAAAGGAAGTAAACAAACTAACAGTTGTTAATTTTTTCTTGTTTAACTATGACAAAAAACATTTGTCCCTCAGCCAGTTCCTACCTGAGAAAGCAATAGTACCAATAGTGTATGTTTTAACCTGAATACACCTTATCCTTATTCATAAACTGTGATTTTTGAACTATTGAGATTTTTAACTGATTTTCATAAATACTAATCTCATCTCTTCCAATAATTAATTAGTCTCATAGATATCAGTCCCTCATAATCACTGCTTAACAAATGAAATTATTTATCTGGTTATTTATAAACTATCTGCCAGATAAAAATAAATAAAATTTATTTAAAACATTTAAGTATGATCTTAGCTCTCCTGTGGGGCAATGAAGCTTCCTGTTGAATAAAGGAAAGAAATGACAAAGTATTTAATTCAGTGAAATTTGAATCCTATTAACTTAACATGTTCTCACCACAATAATGGTTCTAAGAACAATTATTGCAGGTGCTGGACCCAGGAAAGAAAAGGAGAATGAAACTGTGTGTATTTTGATGTTGGTTGTAGTGGAATTACAGGTGGGTGTGGGAATAACAGTAAATATGGAGAAAAAAATCAAGTGTATATTGCTTGTTCCATTCCAGGTGGCTGTTTCTTTGGTTGTGTTGTGGCTACTTAAACAGTGAGTATTCCATGTGCTATTATGAATTGTAGTTTGTTTCTATTGATTATTTGGGTCTAATTAAATATTGTATCATCCACTGTGCTTCATTTCTGCACAATATCATAGAAGTGAAAAATCAAATTCTTTTGTTTAAAGTTGTGAGCATGTGCAGACCCTGCAGCTCTTCACTAATTTCTAACGAATTGTTATGTTTAATTTTCATAAGATGTAATGAAAATATTTAAAACAATGTTATATATTAGAATTTTCTCTGCATACTTAATAAAAATCAAGTTTTTATATTTCAATGGTTGAAAAGTTTAATCTACTTTATGGCTAAAGTAAATCCTTCAGATTAAAGGCATAAACTCTGCTAATGAAATATGTTGTATTTCTTTAGACTCAACTTCAGTTTCATTTACATATATTGGAAATTCAATGGGAAGATTTGGTTGCTGAATAACAATTTCCCTTCACTTTACAGAAGACCTCTTCAAGACAAAGGAAATAGTACTGGAAGTACAAATAACAGCTATGCATTGATCATCACCAGCACCAGCCACTTTTATGTTTTTTACATTTATGTGGGAGTAGCTGACACTTTGCTTGCTCTGGGATTCGTCCGAGGTTTACCACTGGTGCATTCTCTAATCACAGTGTCAAAAATTTTACACCACAAAATGTTACATTCTATTCTTCATGCATCTATGTCAACTCTCAACATGTTAAAAACAGGTACTTCACTAGGTCTACAAAATGAAACTGCTGTTCCACCATCCAGGGGGGCCTGTGATTTAGTTGGTTTTCTAGTAGTAGCTTTGCACAGGGGCATCTGCACCTTTATTGAGCTTCCTTATGACAGGCATGTAGATTTTTTGGAACCTGTGGGCTGTCTGATATTATTGTTCTCCATATTTCTGTATCAGATAATTTGAGTAGCTGTTTGTGCTGATAACATTGCAATAGCAGCAGCAAGCCCTTCTGGGTCAGTTCTCCATTCAGATGTTTGGTCTAACCCCCTCAAGGCATCTTGTTACCAATATGTGGCATTGTGTAAAAGAGGAAAAGATTGAGGCAATCAAGGAAAATATAAAATTCTTTTACTGATAAAGTCTTTTGATGGAGTAAAATAATCTAGTTCCCTGTAATTGTTGAAAGATGATCATACAAGTTTCAGGTTGGTTTTTTTTTTTCATTTTTTTGGTGGAAGGAGGATTGTTGGTGTTTGAAATCCCAAATGTATTTTAAAAGTATTTTTTATAATATCATAGATGTTAGTAGAAGGGTAGAAGTTTTCAGTTTTAAGATGAATAAGGCCTGAGAATTTAATGTATAATGTGACTGTACAGTTTACTGTATAGTTGAAATTTGCTAAGAGAATAAAACTTAAGTGAGAGGTGATGGATGTGTAACTTGATGGAAGGAATCCTTTCACAATTTATGCATATATCAAACCATTACATTGCACACTTTAAATACCTTACAATTTTATTGGTCAGTTATACCTCAATAAAAATAAAGTCACAGAAAAAAAGACTAGTGAAATAAAGGGACCAAAGATTTAAAAAACTAAGGGCAATAAGGAACATTGAAAGTAATCAATTTAATTAATTCCCCTTTAGACAAATTCACATGTCGGGTTGAATAAGGAGTTCTCCAAATTTCATTCTTACAGCAGTCTGCTCAGCACTTCCTTTGTGTGGCACTAAGCCAGGGGCTGGTATGAAGGTGAAGGTGAATGAGGCTCAGTTCTTGCCCTCAAAGAACTCACAGACAGGGAGAGAAGGGAGACACAGAAGCATTTGATTATAAAGCAAAGAGTAAGTGACAAGATTGAGGATTTTAGAGTGATTTGTATCTACAAATCTCAAAATAAGAAATATCCATCAATTTTTTTTTTTGCTAACAAAATTTCAGTGTTAGTTTGCATGAAGATCTTTATATTCATTCTGAAGCCCAGTGGGCCATTAAAGCCCTTGACTCATTTGAATATACTCATCACCAACCTTCTGTTTTACAGCTAAGAAATTTTAGACCTAAAAGGGAATGTCAGATTTACTTGATCCAGTGATTTTATTTTTTTTATGGAAAAACTGAGACCTAAAGAAGATAGAGTGTTTGTCAAAGTTGCTAGCAGTCAGAAATGGGCAATGAGACATAATGGAAAGAGCATGGGAATTGTTTCCAGGCTTGTCCCTATATGAGTGATGATCATGGGCAAGTTACTCTCCTGAGCCTGCGCCTTGCCTTTGCATCTGTAAAGCAGTGACCTCAGAGTATCGTTGTGAGAGTGAAACAGGCAGTCTTCCCGCCTGTTTCGTGGCCAACATGAAATAAATGTCAGTTCCCTGTTGTTTCCTTCTGTGGGGCCCTGTTCCCACAGGGGTTGTCCTTTCCATTCCCCTCTTTATGCTTCAGAGCTCCTCATTCCCTTGAACACTACACACAATGGTTCAGAACCTTTTCTCTTTCATATTTAAATGCTTACCATTCATTTTATTTTCTTATTCATCTTACTTTCCAAACTTTAATCTGCCTTGTGGGAAGATTCTGAAACATCACTGTTTTTGCATTTTTCCTTATTTATGCTCATGGGAACTGAAATAGCAAGATGACCTTACAACATCTAGATGTCCTTTTCCCACACCTACCTTCACCCCCAATTTCTATATGCAAGGATGGTACTTTATTTTAAGAAACATTGCTGTTACTGATATATGGTCCATTTTTTTCTCATTATGTTGCCTGCTCTGCTACAATCAGCAGCAACCAATGCTGTCTTTCCTTGTATGTGTACTTCAGTTTCTCTCAGGTGTGCACTTATTCCATTTTATACTTACCTTGATTTTCTTTGATTCCTTGTCTGTTTTTCCTATGTTGTTATTTAAATGACCTTAAGTCATACAGACACACAGTAGGTGCTCACTAAAATATGTCAAATAAATGGAAATGTGAATGCATATTTTGAGAGGATACTACCATTTAAAATATAATAAGCACCACTAGAATGATATTTTTCCACCAAAATGGACTTCCATTTTTTGAACAGTATATATACCATAAACCAATTTTTTTCAATTTTTGGTAACTTATGGAAAGATATACACATGTGTTTTAATAGGCTAAAAGAAATACTGATTAAGGCTAAGAGAGAGTGACTTAAATCAATAAGTATGCATTGAATAAATAATTCCTGCAAATAAGGCTTTCTGCTGAGGACTATGAGTGATAGAAAATAAATGTGGCATGATCCCCTGCCCTTCAGCAGTTTACAGTTTAGAAACAGAGATAAGACATGTATACAAGCTAATATAGTATGAAACATGGATATAGTCATATAACAGAAGTGCTGACAAGATGCAGTAAAGGAATTTTGTGCAGATGAGAAAAGGATTAATTTGAGCTGGTGCAAACATTGACGTTTCTGTGTAGGAGAGGCATTTGAGTTGGGCCAGGAAGGAGACATCGATTTTGACAAATAAATATGAGAATAAAGGGTTTTTAGGCAGAGGGAACCAAATGGAAAAAGCAGGGAGGTAGAACAGTATAGAATATATTTATAGAATAAACCAAGAAGGGGATTTAGTTATAAAATTAGCCATGGGAAAGTAAAGTACAGTATAGAGAATATAGTCAATAATAATAAAATAACTATGTATGGTGCTAGGTTGGTGCTAGACTTACTGAGGTGATAACTTTAAGATATATAAATATCTAATCAGTAATCACCTGAAACTAATATATTACTGTATGTCAATTATAATTAGAAATAAAATTTTAAAAAGAATAAAACAATTTGGCCAACACAGAATGTTTGAATAGAGAAGGCTTGTTTTAACTAGGGGTTTTTCAAGACCAAATCATGGAAGACATTGCATATTTAACTAAGACTTTTGGATTTTGTCCTGCAGTAAATGGGGGGGATGTGAATGATAATATTCAATATGATGTTGTGTGTACAGTATTATGTTGTATTTTATCCAATTGTATGTTTCACTCCCCCGACAATGAATTCCTCAAGGGCAAGATCATGGTTTATTCACCTGTGTTACCTCAGTGCCTTGCATTGTGTCTGGTGTGTAGTTGACACTTCATATATAATGCTTTTTTATTGAAGGAAAAATTATCAGACTTATAAATGTGAATCTGGTCTTTAGAAAATAGGCTGAAAGTTTGTATTGCCAATGAAGAGGGTAGAAAGAGAGAACATGGCAAAGGATGTTCAAGTAATGGGCAGGTAGGATTTGGAGTAGCCATGGGTTCTGCAGAGGTGCATCAGAAAGGTGAGAAAATCAGAGAAAAAGCACTATACAGTGTGGACTACAGATGTAAGGGAATGATGAAAACATAGCTAGGCTTGCAAGTGTGATGTGGTAGTAGAATGAATACCCATTCCTGACATAATTCTGATATGGGCTCTGTTAGAGACATTATTTTTGGCCTGAATCGTACAGCAATCTGTATATTATAAAGGTTTAAAAGTGAGAAACAATTACTTAGGATCTTTGAGGAATACTAAATTTTTTTAAGTCCTTATGTATCAGATTACATGCTAATTCTTGAATTCTAAATGAGTCTGCTATGATCCAAATTTATCAAATATTAATGTCTTATTAAGATTACTTGTTTTTGAGAAGTTTATCTTCTTTTATATTATAGGTGAGATTCTTAATAGATTTTCCAAAGATACAGCAATTTTGGATGATCTCCTGCCTCTTACCATATTTGACTTCATTCAGGTTTGTAAAAATAAGTATTATTAAGTGTTTTTGTCATCTTTTAAAAACAACTAGAAAAAAAGAAAATGAGTTTTTGCTTATTTTTCATTTGCTTGAGAGTTGAGGTCCTATCTACTGTATGAATTCTGTCAATATCAAAACTCTTCAAAGTAAGCATAATTTTAGTGAATTCAGTGACCAGTAAAAACACTTTACCTGACCCAAATCCAAGACAATTTCAGATTTAGATGCACTCCTCTCTTCTTGGGAGTGATTTGAGAGGTATAGCCAACCATTTTCCCCCAGATCACTGTCCATTAAGTATGACATCTTTGGCATTGACATCATTATTTGATTGAAATCACCTATCTCAAAAGGGCCCATGTTAAAATGAAGATTGACTTCCTGGTGGGCAACAGTTTCAACCAATCTCATTCATGAACACCTTGGCACAGATTAGCTAGCCAGCATCCTCACAATAAGGACCATAATGCAGGAACAGAAGTACAAGTAACTGTTCAAGAAGGTGAGAGGGGAAAGAAAAATTCAGGACTAGTTTGGACTAGCTCTGGGTGATAGACCTGAAGAGGCCTCCATTGCAGCCTGTCTCTGAGCATTCTGTGAGGTGTGGTGATTGGTGATGAAAATGAAGAAGGAGGGGATGGAGATAAGAGTAAGCTATGGGATACTGCATTAGGATTCCATAAGTGACAGGGTTTAAGGTTTGTTGTGAATGAATAACTTTGGCTATTGGACCCGATTTACAAAGAGTTTCCTGTCTGGCTTAGGTTGAGCTCCAGAGAGCAAATGCTACAGTCTCAATGATCTCTTTGGAGATACAGTTGGAACAGGATGCAGCCCATCTTGTGACGAGTCATTCTCTCCTTCCACTTACTTTTACACTCCCCCACCCCTCAATAATAATATTTTATTTGAGAGAACCTATACAACAAAATAAGGGTTCCCATATTTGTGCGTACACACAACCACCATTGGCAGATGCAGAAGGACCAGATTGTCAGTTTGCCTCATCTGAAATGATTGGCAGAATCAAACACATTAAATTTTTTAAGTGAACTTTAGCATTTTGGATTTCCCTCAATTGCTCAGGATATAACTCAGTAGTGCTGCTGGAATTCTTTTACTGATGCTTTGAGTTCATGCATTTGAAGGAATGTTTCCTTCTCTTTCTTTAATGCTGGACATTTGTTCCTTGTTTCAGGGGTGTAAATGACTGTTCCAAATATAATATTATTAAATCAGGTACAAACTGGAACATGAACATCTTGACATGATTGTAAAAGGATTCATGATAAAATTTTTTCTACTTTTTAATCCACTGAGTATTTTCTGAATCAGTATAAGGCTCATTTTAAAAATCCGATAGGAGAGTTAATTTTTAATATTTATTTTAAACATTAACACTTCAAACATGCGATGACTCTCAAATGCTGTCTCTATGGCAATTTGAAGAATTTCTGCTTAATTTCTAATGTTGGGATTCTTTAGTTGTTACTGCACAAGGACTTAGGCAGGGCTCTTTTAATTTCCCTATTTTATTTATTGGAGGGTCTCCCAATAAGGAAGCATAATATATGACAATCAAATAGAGCAAAAATCTGATTAACTTCTATTTTATTAAAAAATGTATTAGCCCTGACCAAAGTGGCCCAGCTGGTTGGACTCTGTCCTGCAAACCAAAAGGTTGCTCGTTCGATTCCCAGTCAGGGCACATTCTTGGGTTGCAGGTTTGGTCACCAGGCAAGGAGCATGCAAGAGACAACTGATCAGTGTTTCTCTCTCACTGCAATGTTCCTCTCCCTCTCTTCTCCCTCCCTTCACTTCCCACTGAAAATAAATAAAGTAATTTAAAAATTTATTACAGGGGCTCCTTTAAAGTGTGAGCTCCTCTGGTTATATTTAAGTATGTTCTGATTAATGAAATTTCATTCTAGGCACAATTCAGAAACAGATTTTTGTAAAATAAAGTATACCTGTAAATTTCCTTTTAATATTAATTAATTTTAAAAAAATTAATTTCTGTTTGCTGTATTTCCTGACATCTGATAATGTTCTGGCAAATTTGCTTTCTGGATTGGAACATCATATAATGAAAATGGAAGATCCCGATTCTATCTGCAGATACCACTATTTATTTCACTTTAACAAGATACTTAATCTCTGAGAGTTTCAGCTTTCTAACCTGTAAAAGGAGAAAGATAAATCTGATGATGAGCATTTTCAGTACTAAATCTATATGCTTCACATTGGCATAATGGAAGTGGACCGTACATGACTAATTTGAATTTGAAGCCAAACGGAGAAAAACTATACTCTAGCTCCTACTTGTCTCCCTGTTTGGGTGAACGATTTTTTTTTTTAATAAACAGAAGCCTTCACATTTTTAAATACTGAAATTGATTCCACTCAGCCTCAAGACCTTTAGGTCTTTTTTGATTTCTTCACTCTTAAATACACTTACATACTGAGTCCTGCTACTCTGATCTCTGCGGTGCCTTTCGCATTCTTCCCCTGCTCATTCTATTAATTCCATCCACCCCTTTGCTAAAATATCCTCCAGGACTCACTATCACTTATGAATTCCACTCTGGTGTTCATTGCATGGTTTGAAATAGTTATTAATTCATTTACCTATTTATCTGTTAATTGATTACTAATTTTGAAGTGACCCTTTATTCTCATTGCCAGCCCCAGTTTCACAGGCAGTGCTGCGTGGCTGTCAGTGTCAGGGGCACTTGGGAGCCACTTTCAGTGGGAGAGAGTGTGCTGCCCACTTCCTGGGAGCGGAAATGTATGGTGCCTTGCAGGTTTTATAGTCTGTTGACTTTTTCTTCTTCAGACAAAGTTTAGGATTTGGTTAAGGATGTATGGGAATTAGAAATCTGTTCTCGCATTTTCTCTTGTCCTCAAGTCTCTCTATTTATTTATTTTTGTTGTCCTCTCACTAATATAATCTGAAATGACTTGTTTCTTATCCATTGTGAATTAAACTAGGACAAAATTTAGGTTTCTTTGTGTAATTTGAATATCAAATATATTAAACCAGTGCCTTTAGTTTTGCACATAATGCTAAGTTATTAGCTTTTCATTTTAGTGCCTAAGGGTGGCTTCTTATGGAGCAGTTATTTTCCTTAATACTGAGGCTTATTTTTCACTTATTCCTCAGTTTGAGCTATATTCTGGATGATTGTAATTGCTGGAAATCTATTTTGTGAATGTTTCATCACTTCCAGTTGTACCCACCTTCTCCATTCTTTCCTAACCCAGTGTGATATCTTGGTTAGTTGACTATCCAGATATTGGTAAATACAAGCACAAGTCAAATGGACTCAGTGCATTTACAGTTGTCAACAGCAAACAAAAGACCCTGATTTTAATGGAGTAGCTGAATGTTTCCATGCCACCAATGCAGCAGCATTTGTCCTTCAGGCATACTGGTATTTAATATAATAGCTCATTTACATTAAGTCATATTCCTTAGTTAATCATGCTTAGAATGGAATTTTTCTCTCCAAAAGACCCTATTTATGAAAAAAAAATCCATCATTAAAAAACTATGGTTGCCTATTGATAAAGTCTTGCCATGTAGTAACCAGGGCATTTGGGGCTTCCTCACTGTACTGGTGGCACTTGTGGGGCCAGAATGGAAAAGGGAAGACTTTCCTTAGATTATCGAGTCATCATATGGACATGGTGCAGTGTCTGGCAGTAAAGATTTATCTGAATATTTATTGAATTAACAAGGAGCTGGTATTGCAGAATTTGATGGCTGGAGACATGCAGGCATTTTCCCTAGAAAAGTGTTATCAAGATATGATTATATGAAGTTTTAGATGAAAATAACTTATTCAAAGAAGATTTATGCAGATCTTAGCTACACCCACATCCTGCTCCCATCTACCAAAATGTTTTGTATTCCACTTCATTACCTAGAAAATTCATGTGTCACCCAGGGAAATTGATGGAGAACTAGCTCATTGGATTTCATATGGGTATTATAATAGGTTTATTTTTTAACCCTTGTTGTGACAGTTACTTATACTTAATCAAGTGGGTTACAGTGGAATAAATGTTAACAGATATTTTCTTTTTAAAATGTGTGAATATACTATCATTTGGAAATATAGAAGTTAAAAGCCTTAACTTGTTCCTGAAGAATACCAATGTGGTTAGATTGTTTCTGAGACTGCCAACAGGGCTCTGGTTTTTTTGATGAATCATATAAAGCAGTAGCTATAGAGTGGATGGACTTGACTGAAACACAAAATTCATTTTGACAATATGTGAGATAGAAAAATTTGTCTAATTTTGAATTAAATTAACCATACCCTCACCCCAATTTTTTTTGTGTTTGCCTGTAGGTTATCTCTAGTTGTTTTAAGAAACAGAAACAGGATTTGGGGGAAGGGGAGTAATATTTATTTATTAATTTTTTTCAGTCTTAAACATGAGAAAACGAGGTTCAGAGAAGTTAAGTAGCTTGCCGAGAAGATCACACCTTTATTTAAACCAGATCTGAATCAAAAGGCTGCAAGATGAATGGCCAAATTTCAGAAATTGTCTAAGCAAAATAAATACTAAAATTTTACCTTCATACTAAAATAATCTCAAAATCAAAAGTTTATTTTAAAAGAGGGCCAGGCTAGGGAAAAAACCACACTTTCTCAAATTATTTGTCATATACTTTAAAGTGTATGGGATATGAGACATTAAGAGACCCACAATTGCCATGTTTTCAAAATTTCAGAATGTTATTCTGAGTGATCTTCACAATTTTTTTTGTATTTAGAGAACTTATTTAACAAAAAAGTACTTTGAGATGACAGCTTTCCTGGTAGGAAAATGCTTGCCCCTTATTGACAGTGAAACAGAGTGTAAAGAACTTATTTAGAAATAATATTGCTGATGTACCTTGTCCACTTTGCAACATGAAAATGTTTACTCACAATGTCTTTTCTTGACCCTGCAGTTGGTATTAGTTGTGATTGGAGCCATAGCAGTGGTCTCAGTTCTACAGCCCTACATTTTCCTAGCAACCGTGCCAGTGATCACTGCTTTTATTATATTGAGAGCCTACTTCCTCCCCACCTCCCAGCAACTCAAACAACTGGAATCTGAAGGTATGACACCAAGTGTATAATGCTTACCTTGGAAAATTTCCGCAAGAGCTACCTGTGATTCTTTATTATTAAACTACTTTTCCAAAAGATTTTTTTCTCTGCTTTTAAACTTTTGCATTATATAACAATGACTCTTTAAAAGTATATGAATGTAAAAGGAAATAGTAAATTACAAAGTACACATTGATTGCTTTTGTTAAATAAGACTATGTGAAATCATTTTGTTTTTAGAGCAACTTCATAGAATCTTCCCAGGATTAGTGTATAGGATATTCATTCATAACTTTCTCATATAAATTAAATTTAAAAATGGTAGTGCTACTGTTACTAGTTTGTCTTGGTTTCCAAATGACACTAGACAAAATTCTTCCTCCTGGCTTCTTTTCAGACACTGTTCCTTTCTCTCTTCAGGTCTGCCTTCTTGTGCTCCAACCACTGCTTGAGCTGTTTGTAAGCACATTTTTTGGGAACAGCCTTGGTGCAGGTGCATTTTCAGGGGCTAAATTTTCAGTGCATTTCTGCACTAGAGGTTATTTGTTAAATTAAATCATATAAATTTTTTTAATCAAGGCATTGAATAAATTGCCTTAAGAGAAAAACATTTTCTCTCAGCAATGATTAATTTAAGATTAGCCAGAAAAACAATGCTCAGTAGTAACCAAGAAACATGAATAAATAATGGCAGTGATTTTATAAGTTCGCAAACATTGTAGCCAAGTAAAAAAATAGGGTAACATTAAAAAAAATAACAAATTTCATCTATTCCAAATATAGCACCAGAATTAAAACCTTTCTAACCAATGATGTTTGCTGTCTTTTAACCTAATCTTTATCAGTTACGTGGTAGTAAGGATTCGCATTATGTGTTTACATGATTTGCATTATTTTCTATGGGAATATTTCACAGGCAGGAGTCCAATATTCACTCATCTGGTTACAAGCTTAAAAGGACTATGGACACTTCGTGCCTTTGGACGTCAGCCTTACTTTGAAACACTGTTCCACAAAGCTCTGAATTTACATACTGCCAACTGGTTCTTGTACTTATCAACACTGCGCTGGTTCCAAATGAGAATAGAAATGATTTTTGTCATCTTCTTCATTGCTGTTACCTTCATTTCCATTTTAACAACAGGTATTATGAAGTTGTTAACTAGTTAGCTAAACATTTAATTAAAAATTTTGTTAATCAATAAAATGTTAAATTCTTTAGGTTAAAATTTTTGATATCTTTAAATCAATTTGGGGAGGCATTTGTTAATCAAAACATTTATTAGTTTATTTAACAAATTATTTTCTTGAATTTCTATTGTTTATTGTTGAACAAATGACATCTTTGAATTACAACTGTCTATTATATTAACCCTACTTCACAGTTTAAAAAACTGAGACAAAAATAACAAATCTGTGCTTGAAAAAAATCTCTTTAATAAAGAATTATCTGAATAGGGGGAAAAACTTCCATATTCACACATACACATATACAAAATCTTCATATCTGGTAAGTTTTGTTCTTTAACCACCAGTTGGTAAAATTTGTTATTCTAATAAGAATTTTTCATGACAAAAATGGCCACAAATGTGAAATGTTAGAGAAAAGTACCATATTTTTTCAAATACAGATGTGCTGAATTTTTTATCATAAGTAAAATAGAAATCTATGTAGATAAGTGAGCTCTTCTAATTTAAGAAGTTGAAACTGAACTAACAAGCAAAACAGAGACAGATTCATACATAGATGGAGAGCAAATAGTTGGGGCAGGGATGGGGGAATTTAGGGGGTGGAGGAATTGAACAAAAAGGAAAAGGGACTCATGGACGTGGACAACAGTATGGTGATTGCTGGATGGAGAGGTGTATAAGGGAACTAAATGGTAATGGAAAAATACAATCAAGATTAAATAAATTAAAAAAAGAAATAAATAAAATAAATATAATTTCTACCCCAAAAAGTTGAATTATTGAGCTATATAAAGTATTGAAATATATATGTGGCAGTGGACAACAGCTCAGAGTAAATGTCAAATGCCAAAGGATTGTTTGGTTATAAGAGCAGAATCCTGCTCAAATAAAAATAAGGCACGTGTTGGAGAGTTACAAGAGTGCCTCTCGGAACCCCAAGACAGAAGGCACCCTGGGCCTCTAGAGAAAATAAAGTAGGCATGGAGAGCCAGACTTGGCTCTTCTTTAGACCAAATACTGGCCTCTGTCCCTTCCTTTCTGCAGCTGCTTCATTCATTTTTCTCTTTGAGGACTGGTTTTTCTGGTGTACCAGGGTTGTGCCACAGTGACTTTATGTGGCAACTTCATTCAGCCCCCTTGAATTAACAACACAATTCCTCTGTCCAGGTACAACACCCTGTTGTTTTAGTTACAACAGAAAATAGGCCCCTTTGGGCTCAGGGATCCACCTGTAGTCCATGCAGTTGCTGTGAGGGTAGCAGGTTTCTTACATTCATTGTTCCCTCAGATGGGGCAGTGGGAAAGGACTCCATGAAAGGAATCTAAGTGAGCAGGCAAATGGACCCTTAGCAGTACAGTAAGTTGGGACAATATTTTAAAAAATAAAGTGTTTTTTAGGTTCAGAACTTTAAGTTTTTCCCTTAAATTATTTGAAATAGGATCAAAGAGGGCTAAATTACATGAATAAAGATTTGTTAATAATTAATTCAAACCAATATGTCAGATCCTTAATATAATGGTTAAGGATCTGATTGAGGCCCAATTTACCAAGGATGATAGGCAAAGCATTTAACAATCAGTATAATTTAGGGCCTATCAATCAAATCTGGTGCCCAGCCAGAAGGAATGTGGCTACACAGCTAATCAACCCTGCTACTGGTCTGCAACTATATTTACTTGTACACATTAATTAACTTCTCCAAGGCCCTCATTTTCCTCACATGTAAATATACATAATATTATGACCTATCCCATAGGTTTGTAGTGAGTGTTAAATGTGATAATTTGTGCTAAACACTTAGTACAGTGCCTGGCACATAAATCTTGCATTGCTATTAAATTTTATCTTACTTTCATCTTAATTTTCAGAATGGATAATATATTGGGATCCTGAATAAGTCTTACCTATTTAGAATAAATGATTTAGTACTAAAAGCATATAACTGCTATTTATGGTTTGTCATCTCTTAGAGGAGCTGTGGAAGTAAAATTTTCAATTAATAATTATAGGATGAGTTATTTCTTCTATTTTTAGAACTCTGTGACAATTTTATCATGCAAATAGATATAAAGACTGACTCTCAATTGAGATTTGATAATGTAAAAATTTGTAATAATTTAAGAACATTTGTAATAGAAAATTTTTAGGACCATAAATACTGAATATTAATGATTTTAAGTGGTCCTCTCCAGCTGTGAAAGTCTATTTACTCTAATTAGACACAAATTTTGTTCATCCTGGGTGTACTAATTCTGTTTTTTGTGTATTTTTTTCACGTAAATGGCAGTCTTATCTTTCCAAATGGTGACCCATGAGTTTTGACTTCCCTGTGAAACTGCAAGTCCAATTTCTCCTCAACAGCATCTGACTTCTTTGTAAGGAAGCTCGTCAGGACACAGGGCTTTTCCCCTCATTGTCCATTGCAGTTTTTGAAGGTATTATTACTTAGAGAGTAATAGTAGAGGAGGTAAACATGGTATCTACCCAACATCAACTGCCCTTTCAATATCTGAAGCATTTAAGAAAGGGCAGTTTTTCCCCTAACATTCAATCACTCTTTGATTTAAAACATTGATTGAATATTTACTATATGCAGGGCATTATCACTAGTGGTAGCTGCCGTGGTGAGCTGAGATGAAAGATGGTTAAAAATGGTACAAAATTGAAATGTAACTTTAAATGCCATATGCCCTACAAAAGGTATAAATAAAAGGGTTCAAGTGAGAATTAACATAAAGCTTTTTTATATCTTTTTTCCAGTTATAGGTGAAGGAGAAGGAAGAGTAGGTATCATCCTAACATTAGCCATGAATATCATGAGTACTTTGCAATGGGCTATGAACTCCAGCATAGATGTGGATAGTTTGGTAAGTAATTATTATTTTATTAGAAATTTTTATGAAACATTTCAGACAAATCAAAAATATAGGTTATAACATAAGGACAACTAGGTACCCAGCCATCAGCTTAAGATATAAAACATTACGGATAAAATGGAAGCTATTATGTATCTCTTATTAAGCCCATAGCTCTTATTTCCTCCACATAGATTTCCTCCACATTCAAAATGTAGTGCTGCAGTGAGCATTCTTGCACAACCTCCTCAGCCAATATTTTTATAGAACAGATACCTGAGAGTGGTATTGCTGGGTGATAGAATTAATCTATATTTAACTTTACTAGTTGATGTTAAATTGTCCTCAAATCTGCTGTACAATTTATATTCTCATCAATAGAGTATAATGATTCTCACAGGTCCATACCTGTGATATTCAGCATGTGACATTGTCAGCCTTTTTAAGTTTGGCAATCTGATGGATATGAAGTGGTTACTAAGAAGACAGAGCAGCTTAATACATATTTATTAGCTATTTGAATTTTCTGTTAATTGTGTGTTCATTAGGATTGATTATTTTTCAAATAGACTGGGTTTTTTTTTCTTGATTGATTTGTAGGAGTTTATGAATTCTGGACCAACTGCCAGTTTTATACATTTCAAATACATTCAGTACCCAGTCAGTGGCTTGGTTTTTAGTGTCTTTTGATGAAAAGAAGCTTTTAAGTTAAATGAAGTTAAATTTATGTCTTTTATGTTTTGTGCATTTGGTATTGAGTTTAAGAAATTGTTACCTATTTTAGGTTTTCAATTTATTACCATTATACTTTTTTAAATATTCTTTCCTTCTTAGTAAAATTTCTACAGTGTTTAGTCATGGCTCCTACTTCATTCTTAAAGTATTTATCATTGCCTTCTTCCTTTTTGCTGTATCTTATTGCCACACATTTGTATCCTTGATTGGCATATATAAAAACTGCATTTTGGCTTTGTTGTTTCTCTTGTTTGCCCAGAATGCAGAGCCTGCAATAAGGCTTATAGGCTAACACTGTGTCAGTGACACAAATCTTGTGGCAGCAAGAATGAGAGATAAAGGAGGCAAGGCAGATTTCTAATTTTTAATTAAAAAACAAATACATAATTTTCAATCAGACTGTGCAGTTTGTCTGGATAGTTTAATCATCAACTTTTATTAGTCTATCTGTAGTGCTCTTTTTAAAATCAGTCATCCATTACAGCATTGGTGGAGGGTCTAGAAACTCATGTTGTGAATGACTTTTATTGCAGTCCAAGGTCCTTTTCCCATTCTCTGAGACAGTTAACTTGTTCTCAAACCACAGACATTCATTCAGCTGTGACATCTGTATAATGGATTCCTAGCAGAACGAATATCATTATAAAAAATATCTCTAGGAAAAAAACCTCAAACCTTTTAATGTCCTCTTTTTGCCTGTTTGCCTTAATATTTTATTTTAACCAAAGCATTTTAATAATTCATTGAAATGTAATTTAACCTTAAACATGATTTATAGTGAGATTTACCTCTTTTCCTTTAACATTATTTTTTTTTAGTTTGAACAGCTCTTTTGAGTTACTCATTTATCTCCTCACTTAGCTCTTGTGCTTTTGGGGTTGGGTCTCATACGTGTTCATTCTTTTCTTTCCCTTTCCCCTCCTCCCCTCCTCTTCCCACTGTTCCTCTCCCCTCCCCTCTCCTCTTTCTTTCAATCCTTTCCTAAGGATGTACCTATTGATTTTAGAGAGAGAGGAAGGGAGAGAGAAAGAGAGAGAGAGGGTCGTTGATGTGAGAGAGAAACATTGATGGGTGGCCTCCCATACACACCCCAACTGGGTATCAAACCTTGGCATGTGCCCTGACTGGCAATGGAACTCATGACTTTTTGGTGTATGGGATGATGCTCCAACCAACTGAGTCACTCAGCCAGGGCTTTAAAATATTTCTGTTAGGAAATAGTAGGAGAATAGTGCTTGTATTTATTTAATTCTTTGTTCCAACTTTCTACAACTTTGATTTTACTGTTAGAATCCTTATTATGTCACCTCTTTATTCAAACAATCTCTTTAACCTGTATATTCACAATTCTTTTCTCTTTGTCATATTAATTGTCTTGGTTTACATAACAGCTTCTATACACTGATGTCAAAATCTGTCTTGTTACATTTCCATTCTGCATATCCAATCTACATTAAAGTTTACTTAATGTACTTTTACCTCTTAGTTTTTCACATGGGCATCTGGGCTTTGTGACCTATGCTTTGACATTGTGTCTTTCATCTCCTGATATAAAAGGATCTTTGCAAAAAACTATTATAATAGAGTCTATAAAAAGGGTCAGTGTTTGCATTTGATCTCATCTTAAAAAGTCATGTTCTTTTGTTTGAATATCAAAGTGATTTAGTTTTCATTTCCCTGCCAAATTACACAAGTGGTCTTTCCTGGGCCTTTGTGGGTATTTATTTATATATTAATTCCATTCATATTGCTTTCACCCATGATACTGCTAAAGTTACACAGTAATTTTTAAAATTTTCACACGGCATATGTTAAGGGGAAACAGCTATGCCCTCAAGTTTCACATTTGAATTATCTTAACAGTGAAGGTGCCTGTGAACTCCAAAGTAATAATTCAATATATTCTCATTTTATTTTACGATTTGTTAACCTGAGTTTAAAATGCAGTAAACAGAGTGCTTTGTTTAATGCATGCTTTTAGTTTTTCAGTGCTGGGCTATTGAGAAAAAATTCTTTAGGTATGGAAAGAATATTTCATTTTCCCATTTAACATGGACACAGAGTAAAACAAACAGAACTATGAAGTTATAAAAATAGCAATATGACTTTTTGTACAGCTCATCTATTGCTTATACCTAGGTGCCTACCCAGATACCTAGCTTTCATTAGCTTTCAACCAGTAAAAGTAATATTTCGATGATAATACTTCTTCATCACTACTTCTAGTCATTTTGTATTTATAACTGACTATACATCTCAAATACTGGCACTCAAAACTGGCCAACAACCCTTTTGTTATATTTTCCTAATTATTGTTTTTTCTTTTTATTATTGTTATTTTTTATTGAATTTATTGGAGTAACATTGGTTAATAATATTATATAGGTCCTGGCTGGTATGGCTCAGTAGATTGAGTGCCATCCTGTGAACCAAAGGGTCACTGGTTCGATTTCTGGTCAGGGCACATGCCTGGGTTGTGGGCCAGGTCCCCAGAGCGGGGGTGCATGAGAGGCAACCACACATTGATTGAAGGATTTCTCCCCCTCTCTTTCTCCCTCCCTTCCCCTCTCTCTAAAAATAAGTAAGTAAGTAAATAAATAAATAAATATCTTTAAAAAATATGATATAGGTTTCAGGTGTACAATTGTATAATACATCACCTGTATTGTGTGTTTACCACCTGTAGTCAAGTCTCCTTCCATTACCATTTATCCCCACTATACCGTCTTCTACCTATCCCACCCCACTTTCCCTCTGGCAATCATGATACTGTTGTCTGTGTCTATGAGTTTTTTGTTTGTTTGTTTGCTCAATACCTTCACCATTTTCACCCAGGCCTACAACCCCCTGTCCCCTCTCACAGTTGTCCTTCTGTTCTTTATAAGTCTGTTTCTGTTTTATTAGTTTATTTTGTTTTTAGATTCCACATATGAGTGAAATGATGTGGTGTTTGTCTTTCCCCACCTGGTTTATTTCACTTAGCATAATTCTCTCCAGGTACGTTCATGCTGTCCCAAAAGGTAAGATTTCTTTTTTAAGGTCAAGTATTCCATTATGTAACTGTACTACAGCTTTTTTTAAAAAAATCTTCACCTGAGAACTTCTTTTTTTTTTTTTTTTTTTTTTTTTTTTTTGCTTTTTAAAGGTAGAGAGAAAGAGAGAGGAAAAAAAACATCAATATGAGACAGAAATATTGTACCATTGCCTCCAATATATGCCTACACTGGGGACTGAACCTGCAACCTTTTGGTTTTGGTTAGTTGGAGTGGGATGACACTCCAACTAACTGGGCCACACTAGCCAGTGTTATATCACAGCTTTTTTTATCCATTCATTCTGATGGGCACTTGGGCTACTCCCAAATCTTGTCTATTGTGAATAACACTACTGTCCATATATTCCTTCGAATTAGTGTTTCTGGATTCTTTGGATATATTCCCAGGAGTTCATTCACTGGGTCATAAGGCAGTTCCATTTTTAACTTTCTAAGGTAACTCCATACAGCTTTCCACAGTGATATCACCTCTCTGCATTCTAACCAACAGTGCACAAGGGTTGCTTGTTCTCCAGTCTTCGCCAGCACTTGTTGTTTCTAGATTTATTAATGATAGCCATTCTGACAGGTGGGAGTTGATATCTTATTGTGATTTTAATTTGCATTTCTCTTATTAGTGAGTTGAGCATCATTTTATATGTCTATTGGCCATCTATATGTCTTCTTTAGATACATGTCTCTTCAGGACCTTTGCTGATTTTTGTTTTGCCCATTGTTTTTTTGGCATTGAGTTTTGTAAGTTTTTAATAAATTTTTGATATTAAATCTTTTTCTATGCATTCATTGATTTTTTAAATTTATAAATCATGTTTATTCTATTATGATTATCTCAATTTTCCCCCCTCTACCCCCCTCAATCCATCCCACACCCACCCCCACCCCCTGCTCCCACAGTCAATTCCCACTCTGTTGTCCATGTCCATGAGTCATTCATACATGATTTTTGTCTAGTCCCTTCCCCTTCTTTCCACCATTGTCCTCTTTCCCCATCCCCTCTGGTCACTTTCAGTCTGCTTCATGTTTCCATGCCTGTGGTTTATTTTGTTCATTAGTTTATTTTGTTGAATAGAGTCCACTTATAGGTGAGATCATATGGTATTTGTCTTTCATCAACTAGCTTATTTAACTTAGCTTAATATTCTCCAGTTCCATCCATGTTGCTGCAAAAGGTAAGAGTTCCATCTCTCTCTTTCTTTCTTTCTTAAATGCAGATTGATTTTAT